GTAGTTCGTGAGCCTATGTTATCTTGTGCCCTTCTCTTTATGCTCATATTCATTGCCTTACCTCCATGCTTAGAGTTAGCTATAGTGTTGCAAGGTATGCCTTGTCTATAAAATATAGGGGGAGTGTTGATCCTAGTATGTGTGATGTGCAGTCCAAAGCATTCATATAGAGTGCACACATCTAGGGGGAGCATGTCTATAGTTTGTAGATGTTGGGTTTGCTTATATTCATTTGTGTACTCTTATGTGCAAATCCCGTATTGTCATCAATCCACCAAAAAGGGGGAGATTGTAAGGGCATATTTCACCCTATGTGGTTTTGGTGATTGATGACAATGCTTTTGCGGACTAATCATGTGCGTTGAGCATTTTAGATATCTTATGTTTAGGCACAAGATGATTCGATGCCCCTCGAAGACTATTGAAGACGGCGTTTCTCTATGTTTCTTTTCGATGGATTTGAGTCGTAGGAAAGCCATACTATTAAGAGGGGGTCCGTGTTGGAAAGGTTAGGGTGGAATCAACACGTACACGTCTGTTCCTTTTTGCACCACCTTTTCTTGGCTCTTTGGAGCATCCTCCGTCTCTCCGTGTCTCTGCAAAATGAAGGACTCCTAGTGTTGCTGAACTGAGACAGGCGATAGTATTGCTCTTCGGAGCGGTACTACCGCAGGCCCTTGCGGTAGTACCGGCACCAGCGCGGTAGTACAGTGGCCTCAGGCCAGGCGCAGCTGCTCGAGCGGTTGTAGGGGCGGATGTAATTTTTTACATCCGCACCCTACGCGGTAGTACCGTGGGCTCAGGCCAGGCACAGCAGCGTGAGCGGATGTAGGGCGGATGTAATTTTTTACATCCGCGCCCTACACTATAGTACCGCTCCAGGCTTGCGGTAGTACCGTGACGGATTTTTTCATAGACAAAACTCGGCGGAAGTAGTCACTGATGTATTTTTATATGTCCGTGCCTTCTCAACCTAGACTATTCCTGCCTTGCGATAGTACCGCAAAGGGGCGCGGTAGTACCGTGCCAGCGGTTCTACCGCTCCCTGCCTTAGCGCATCAGGACTGGTCTTAGCCCCTGTCGTGCCAGCGGTACTACCGCAATTCTCCGCGGTAGTACCGCAGGCCCTCGCGGTAGTACCGCTTGTATGGTGCAGTAGTACCGCGTGTCGCAGGCTGAGTTAGTGGATAACGGTTGGATTTGTCCCTTTACTATAAAAGGGGTGTCTTCTTCTCCGAGTTGACTACCTCTTCTATCTCTAAGCTCCATTGATGCTCTAAGCTCCATTTTTGGCCGATCTCTCTCCCTAGCCAATCAAACTTGTTGATTCTCTAGGGATTGGTTGAGAAGGCCTCGATCTACACTTCCACCAAGAGAAATTTGATTCCCCCCATTAATCCCTTGCGGATCTTGTCACTCTTGGGTGTTTGAGCACCCTAGACAGTTGAGGTCACCGCGGAGTCATAGTCCATTGTGGTGAAGCTTCGTAGTGTCGTTGGGAGCCTCCAATTCAGTTGTGGAGATTGCCCCAACCTTGTTCGTAAAGGTTCGGTCGCCGCCTCCAAGGGCACCAATAGTGGAATCACGGCATATCGCATTGTGTGAGGGCGTGAGGAGAATACGATGGCCCTAGTGGCTTCTTGGGGAGTATTGTGCCTCCACACCGCTCCAACAGAGACGTACTTCCCTTCAAAAGGAAGGAACTTCGGTAACACATCCTCGTCTCCATCGGTTCCACTTTTGGTTATCTTGCACCTTTACTTGTGCAAGCTATATTGTGTTATATTCCTTGCTTGCTTGTGTGCTTATTGTTGTTGCATCTTATAGGTTGCTCACCTAGTTGCATATCTAGACAACCTACTTTGATGCAAAGCTTAATTTAATAAAGAAAAAATAAAAATTGTTACTTGCCTATTCACTCCCCCCCCCCCCTCTAGTCAAGTATATCGATCCTTTCAAATAGAACAGATTAGATGTTACAATTTTTTGGTAGATACATGTACTTTGTACTACACATCAACACAAAAAACACAAACATGACGTAGTATTATCTTCTCAGAGCCCGAACCTGGATAAATCTCGTGTCCTTGCTACCATCGCTCCTAGACTCCTAACTTAGGATCCCCTAAAGTCCACTCCCCAACCTCTCCATCCTCTGCTCCAGCGAGAGGTGAAGAGGGAGAAGGCTTCGTTTCCACCGTCGAAAGCCGGCGAGCCCGGTGGTTCCTCTTCCCTCCGTCGGCCGCTCCGGCGGCGGGAGGGGAGGGGAACCCCGGTGCTTCGTTCCCGGCGTGTGGATAGGTTAGGATTAGGATTTGGCCGAGGCAGCGCTCTGGTGACGGCGGTGTCTCATCGGCCTTTGTTTCTTCCGGCGCTCCGTCCACCTCGACGACATCCTACAGGATGTAATCGAGGAGCCTACGGGGTAGATTCCTGCCGCTCTGTTTGGGCAGTGAGGTTAGGTTCTGCCTCGTCGGCGTGCGCGACGGCAGGCATCGTCTGCTCAGATGTGGTTGGCGAGGCAGCGGCGGCGGCCACATCAGGAGATTTTGATCTCCCCATCCCGCTCCTTCCCTGGTGTTGTCTACTCCGGCATCGTCAGCGAAGATGGGAGAGATGTGTACAGAAGATCTGGCCTACGCGCGGTGTTGGCCTGTGCGGGAAGACGGCTGGCTCAGTGCTGGGTTTGTGGTCTGCGGCGTGCGGCTTCGGTGGTCTCCTCCGTTGTGATCGGACGGAGACGACGGAGTCGAGGACTGGCGAGCGTGGGGAGGATCCCCGGCCGACGCGCCCCAATGTTTTGGGTCTGCCAGCGGCGGACGGCTTCTTCAGCTCACAAAGCGGCTTCGACTGCGATGGCGTCTCTCCGGTTCAGGGTTGGATGGCGACTCGTCCCCTTCCTCGACGACGCTCCGGCGGCGGCGCGGATGGGCATGGAGTGTTTGGTGTTTTTGTGTTTTGCCCCCCCCCCGGGCTTTATGTGTTTTTCTTGGGGGCTTTACTGCAATGTGTGCTGGGACAGCTGTGTTTCTGCACCCTTCTAGCGAGTGCTGCGTGTATGCTATGGTTACTACTTGGGTAATGAACACGTGGTTTCTCCTCAAAAAAACTTAGGATCCCCTACCTCGAGATCTGCTGATTTAGATTCCATCACCTCAACCGCATTGCCGCTGCCCAATATTTGATTTTTACTGCCAGAGGAGCTGCAGGAGGAGGAACTGCTGCATCTGTGCGGCGACGGGCAAATTTGACAAATTTAACCTATAGACGAAATTAAATCACAGAATGAACTGTCCGTGAAATTATTTCACGCGGTTGACCCGTGGCGCCTAGCTCTCAGGCGCTGCACTAGTGCAATGCCCGGGAGCTAGGCGCTGCACTAGTGCAACGCCTAGGAGCTAGGCGCTACACTGTATAGTGTGGCGCCTAGCTCTCAGGCGCTACACCACTTAGTAATTTTCTAATCACACGTGTGCGACGCTGGCCGTGTAGCGCCTATCTCTGAGGCGTTGCACAGTGTAGTGTGGCGCCTTCGTGGCGGGCGTCACACAAAAAGGTCAGCCGCGTGAAATAGTTTCACGGATAGTTCATTCTATTGATTTCGTCTATAGGTCAAATTTGTCAAATTTGCCGCGGCTACGATGAGCAGCGGGAGCACTGTTTTCTGTTTACTCCATATGCAAATTCCCTGTTGTTGACTGTTTTGCTCTATACGCAAATTTGAATTACTCCATATACAAATTATGCAAAATAAGTACTGTTGACTGAGTATCTTCTTTGGCATTTTGAATTCCCTGTTGCTGACTTTACTCCATAGGCAAATTCCTACTGTTTCCAATCATGCAAATGAATTGGAGTAAAAAGTTCACTCCATATGAATACTCCATTCTCCATATTATGCAAATGAATTTTCTTACTGTTGATCTACAACAGAAGAGATGAGAAGCAGAGGATGTTGTGCTGCTGCTGCTGATCTGCTGCTGTTGTTGATCAAGGTAAAATGCCTGGGCCTAACTCTGTTGATCTGCTCCTGAGTACTGCTATCTTACTGCTGTTGTTGATTTTACTCCTGTTTCTGATTAGATGAGAAGTTAAATTTTCAGTATGGACTGAATCCAATGCTTCAAAGTACTCTAAGTACCCCTGTTAATGATCAGATGAGTATGCACTAAACTCTAATTATCCATTACTTCAAGGTAAATCCAAGTATGCTTAAAACTGAAATTTATACTGAGTATGCAGTAAATTATTTTTGAAATGCTCCATGGTAATCCAAGTACTGAATTACCCCTTGCTGGAGTACCATCAGCTTATAACATGAAACTGATTACTGTCATTTAACAGTAAACTGAATTTTAAACTGAGTATGCAGTAAACTTGCAGGAATACAAATTTATGCATTACTCCATATTTTTTGAAGTACTGTCATTTAATCCATCCTCCACATTTACTCTAAATTTATGCATTGCTCCTTGCTGGAGTATTTATTTTTGCAGTAAACTTGCTGGAGTAACAGTGTTCAGTACCCAGGAGTGTCCTTTGAAGCAGAGGAGTAACAGTGTTCAGTTAATCAAACAGGGAGTATGTGCAGGAGTACAATTTCTAGGAGATTGCAGTAAAATTGCTCTCTTTGACTGCAGTTTATGATTACTCCAGTAGACCAGTTCAAAATTATGATTACTGCAGTGCCGGCCGAGTTAACCTCACCGCCAAAACGAATTCCAATGTGTAGTTGAACAACACTCCATGCGAATTCTCGTACTGGAAACTGGATTTTTGTGTTCCTTCACACTCAAACTGACAAGTCAAATGTCATGGAAAACTCCACACAGAAAGTCAGAAACACACACCACACAACAAATTCAAACTTCTACTTACATACTCGGTACCTCTAACACAGCACAGCTACCTGTACATTTCTGCTGGACAGTACAAACCCTGAAGCTCTAACACTTTCTCCTGGCACTACTCCTCCAAAGGAAGCTTCAGATGAAACTATATCATCTGGGCGCCTCTATGCCCATTCCAGACATGTACGGCACCGTCAAGGGGGCACCCGACGACGACGAGGCGAGATCCCAAGGCATCGGAGCTGACACAGGTGGCATGTGCACGACCATATGCTCCGTCACGGCACGGTCCAGCACAAGCTCTTCCCTCCAGGTGCTCCGCAGAGCCTTCAGCCTGTCGGCCACCTGGGTCATGGAAGGCCTCTCTTCACCCCTGGCGCCCAAGCACATCCTCCCCAGCTCGGCCACTTCTCCCAGCAGCATCTCCGTCCCCGCGCGCACGATGCTCGGGTCCAGGATGTCCTCGAGGCTCTCCTCCTTCATTGCGAGAAGGAAGGACCACACAAGGCTCTTGCCTTCCTTGGGCCCGTCATTGTAGATAGCCGTCTTCCCCGTGATCAGCTCCAGCAGCACAACCCCGAAGCTGTAGACGTCGCTCTTCTCTGTCAGCTGCCGCTCCTGCAGGTACTCGGGGTCCAGGTAACCCAGGGTGCCCTGCACCAATGTCATGAACTGGGCCGCGTCCTTGGGGAGTGTCCTTGATGCCCCAAAGTCAGTCACCTTCGCCATGTAGTTGTCGTCCAAGAGAATGTTCATAGACTTGACATCCCCGTGCACTATAGGGTGGTTCATGGACAGATGCAGATACGCCAGTGCTTCGGCGGATTCTTGAGCAACCCTGAGACGGGTGTCCAACGACGGAGGTGGACTCCCGTAGCTACGATGGATGAACTCAAAAAGGGTGCCGTTTGGAATAAATTCATAGACCAGTATGGGGACTTCCACCTCTAAGCAGCACCCTAGAAGCCTGACCACATTCCGGTGGTTGGTCTGTGAAAGTATAATAATCTCCTGCACGAATTCATCAGTTTCAGCCACGTTCATTATCTTTGAGCGTTTCACGGCCACTACCCTGTTATCCTTCAAGACGCCCTTGTAGACAGTGCCATGACCACCCTTGCCCAGTTCTCTGCTCTTGTCAAACCCGTCCGTAGCCTTCTTCAGATCTTCTTCTGTGAATATCCTCAATGTGTCGACTTGTTTTGACATAATTTGGCGATATAATATCTGACCACCATTCTGATCAAAGAACTTGTCCTTCTCCTTCGCAAGCTTCCTTTTCTGGTACTCAGCTCGTAGAGCAAAGATACAAACCATGAGGAAGATGGCACTGAAGGATATGCCTGAAAATCATGACAGTTAATTACCATCAGTTCAACTAGCGGCAGTGACCACATTTGGTTAAAAACTAGTGCAACATATTGCCCATTGCTTTGCCATATGACATGTATATAAACTATATCTGGACTTGTATAATTGGTACAAAATATTTTGATTGCTAATAATCTCATTACCTAAGACCACCTTAAGAGCTTTCTTTGGGTCAGCTGGAACGCAGGGTATGCTCTTTGGATCATCGCTCCTGAATCCTGATGGGCAGAAACAGCTGTAGTTTCCAACGGTATTTGTGCATTTACCTTGGCAAGGATACAAGGACTGGTTTGGAGGTTCACACTCGTTGATGTCTGTCATTTCAAGTAAGTGAGGAGAATGTCAACATGGATAAAAAGAATATTCCATTCCACAAATAAAGCTGATAGAACAGAGAGTGTAGGTTGATTTTGTGAGACACATATATGTACCTTGGCACCCTCCTTGTAGATAGGGATTGCCCTCATAACCTTCAGAGCAGTTGCAGCGGTATCCAGGGCCATTGGACACATCGACACATTTGCTGTTCATGTCTTTGCAGGCATACTGTGATCCCATCTTGGTGGCTTCCGAACAACTTTCATTACCAACAACCCAATCAAGTACCAAAGGGACCCCATCTGTATATTTATTTAAGAAATTTGTAGAGCTGACATATGAACGATCGAACTTGAACCGGTCCTCCTCAGCGACGAATGAGTAGCTGCACGGGCTGAAAGACTGGCTTGTAGAGTTTGTAAATGATAATGATGAAGATACAGTGTTGAAGGAGCTAATGTTTCCTGGCAAGGGGGTTTGGCAGCAACCCATGCCAACGCACTTTGTGCTATCATCCACGCTATTTGCATCAGTGCAGACTGAATAGCATGTGTTAACAATGGGGAACTCAAGCTGGTTCTTGCCCTTGGTGACTCCTAAGATCAATCCAAGTGTAGCACAACCGATCGATATCAACTTGTTCTTGGTGTTGGAAAGCTTATGAAAAGGATCAAGGCTTAAGCCATCCGAACCGTTGCCACTGGTGCCGTTGGTGTAGTTGCATTCCCATGATATGCGTGGGTTCAGAACACGAATCTCACCCACGGTAAGATTGATGTCCAGTACCCTAACTTCGGTTGAGGCCAGATACGCCCCGGTCTCATTGCATGTGACATTAAAGGGTTCTCGAAAGCAGCCTTTTCTGGTACCAAACGGGTACGGGATGTTGACGTTGCCACACTTATCTGAGCAGCCAGGCCAGGCCATGCTGATGCTCCCAGAGGACGCAGCGACATAGGTGGTAGTACTATGATGTAGGACTAGGGTGGCAGCAACAAGTAGTAAGAGCTTCTGACCTGTAGGCAATGACAAAGAGATGTCATATACATACCGATCTATGTGGGCTAGATGCATGTTATATTAGTGATATGGCCCCCAGAAAACAAAAGATTCATAATACATCATACAAGTCAATAAGAAATATTTAATTTATTTCAAAATATGTCAAAGCCATTCCTCCAGTCCAAACATCATTTAAGGAAAATCCCTTACAGCCCCAATCATACAGGACAGCTGAGTAGTCAATTAAGTTTGATCCCACAACTACAAATATTTTGACCCAGCAATATCTGAACTGGATGAAGAAAATAGAGTTAATTTTCCTCTTATAAAATTAAACATAAACTCTGCATGGGTTTCCGAATTATTTCTGATGTCAAATCTTTTGCCATCGTGAAAGAATTTAAATTCAAATTTGGTATAGATAAAAAAGAAACAAGAATAACAATTCAGACTCCATGTTTCTTTTTGTTATCATTCTAGAAACTGTAGGGAAAGTACTACCACTGATTTGTATTTATTTGTCATTTGGGTTTGTATTTATCTGTCATTTGGGTTTTCATATGAGACTTTTCAGATGAAGCACCTCTATTAATTATTTACCGACAGCAATTTAAAATCTTAAGTACATACTTGATATGGAAAAAATATATTAGAAAAATAATTAAATATAACCCCGTCTGTTGCTCTATTTGAATAAAGCTAAAATGGCACAATTGGTGGGTGGAGACAGGATCAGCACATTCTTCCCCACTACAATACATCACTTTTAGTGATTTATATTGGATGTTTTTCCTGTTGTCCCCCTTTTCATGTTTCCGTTCTACGGAGTATTTTACATCTTGAATTACTCTTCTTTTTTTGAGAAATAACCTTCCATATAACTGAATAACACTCTAATAATCCCTATTTGCTGCCGTCGTAAACAGCCTATTTCTCCATATCACTGCTTCGTGATTGATTCCTTACTCTGAAGCCTCCATCTCAGCTCAACCATTAAGTGCATAAAAAAGGTTTCTCCCCCTGTTTCGCACGAATGTATCCAAGGCAGTAAACTAAAAGGATCACTGCACACAGCAAACTGATTTTGTTCTTGTTCAAGCGACGCAAAATGCACGAATTATCTATATTGCGTGCTTCTATTGCGCCCCAATTTTCTTCTTCAACCTCGGAGTCAGCAGCAGGTCAACGACACAAGCCGAATTCTCCAGCCAAGAATAAACAAAATCGCCCCAATCCGCGTTGAGTAGTACTACGCGTCAATCCGCAATCAGCAAATAATTGCACTGTACAACTAAGCTAGGGCTCGCCGTACCTTACAGCGCATCGGCGGAATACGGCCGCGGAGGAGCGGCAGGGCGGACTGCGCATGACGCCGGAGGAGGCGGGCAGCGCCGGATACTCGGATCCGACGTGCCGACGCCGGCTGCCGGAGCTCGCCGGAGGTGGAGCAGGGCCCTGAGGTTCCTTAAGGGTTGTGGGGCGCAGGTGGAGCGGGCCTTCCCATCGGCGGCGGCAGGCATCTCGGCGGCGAGGCGGCAATGGCGGATGGGGGGTCACATCAGTCAGGTCGGGTGGAGATGCCGGATGTTCACTCTTTTTTTTAATGAACTGCCGGGTGTTTACTTGCCTTCGGGTACATCGGTCATTTTCAAAACGACATTTTGGAAGATGATAACAATTCGTGCCCGGAAAATATTATGGAAAAAATAGTAGTAATTTTTTTTGAGAAAAATAGTATATTGTTGGTTGGTAAACAATCTGAAATAATGCAGCATTGGATGGTAACTTGCTTGGGTAATTATTTCATATAGGATGTTATGGCTTGTGTGAAAATCTAAAAACAAGAACCGACTGATCTGGCCCCGGATCAGCCTCGCGCGCCATCTGATATGGTCGAGTGCTGCCATCTAATTTGTCTGCCCCACACGACAGTTACTTTTAAAAAAATACTAGTAAAACTTCCGCTAAAAAATGTTTGTTGTTATTGATAAAGTCAGGCCGGCTTCGGCGGCGCACCGTCCTGGAATCTCAATTTTAATTTCTGTCGTGCTAAGAATGTGTTGCACTCCTGGTTAACTTTTAAATATATTCAGATTCTTTTTCACAAATAAAAAAATCCCATTCGCATTTCTCTCTGACTTTGCCATCTTACTAAAAACACCGCGTCTCCGTCGGAAATTGCTTTTGGAGGCCGAGCTCCATGGAGGCCTCCAAATGCAAAATTCAAAATTCGTGAAAATTCATATTTTTACATTTCAGAAAATTTTGCAAAAAAAATGCATACATACATGAAGACTGAAATATATAAAGACATGCACAAGTGTGTAATACATTGAGATGAGAGCTTTGAAAAGAAAAAAACAAATATGATGTTTTTTAACACATGATATTATTTATCCGCCCAAACCATGAATTTGTCTTTTTCGTATAGGTCGCATTTCAATTTATTTCATCTTGAAATTTTACGCACATACACCCACATCCTAGTGTTTTCTAAAACCGAACGTTTTGATATCTTTTTTCGAAAAATCCGGCCTTCGTAGTGACCGAGATCCAAAACGCCGTACTCGCATCTCCACCCTTTATTAGAAGATTTATTAATAAGGCTAATTGCACTCTAATCCCAAATAGTAAAAGGCCAGGACACCCCTTGCCCCGGCATGAGGCAAGTTATTATTATTGTAGAAAAAGAAAAGGAAATCCTCCTAAAAAAAAGAGGGAATTGGTCCTATGACAATAGACCCGGGTGCATGCATGGGCAGTGGAACAAACTACAGTAGTCCTATCTTTCTTAGTAACGAAATGGAAGTACAAGGCTGCAAGTAACGAGCCTGGACGGCATAAGAGCGAGCGCTCTAGCAGGAAAAGAATGAAGAGGACGAACATGGTGGTGGCTCTTCTTACCGGCGATCCGTTGCCAGACCATGGTTGGAGGCTGGAGCTTCCGCCGCCGTCGCCCGTCGCCGACCCTCCACCCCTCACCACCGCCGGTGCCTGTGCGTGAGCGCGGCGCGCGGGCGAGAGAGAGAACCAGAGAGGCCATGCTTATGTACAACGAGATGAACCGAGACGCAGTCAAGCAGCCAGCCTCCCCTCGGACTGCTACCACTGACCAAAACCGCGTGCGGTGGCAGGAGCAAGCGGGAGCTGACCGCAGGTCATCGCCTGGCCACTGTTTTGGTACACTGCTACTCCCTCCGTTCCTAAATATTTGTTTTTTTAGAAATTTCGAATAGACTATCATATACATACGGATGTATATAGACGTATTTTAGAGTGTAGATTTATTCATTTTGCTTCGTATGTACTCACTTGTTGAAATCTCTAGAAAGACAAATATTTAGGAACGGAGGTACGTAGTACTATAACATAGCGTAGCTTTCTCAGCCGGCGCCGTGCGTGCTCTACTCCCTTTCAGACGGCAAGTTCCCGTCGCGTCGCCGGCCGGTGCCCGGCGTGACAAAATCCGGTGCCGGTCCACGGCCCCTTCGCTTCAACTCTGACCAAGGACCCGGTTTTTTTCTTTTTTTGTCGACGAGACCCGCTCTCCGCGCGTGCCCTTCCTCCTGGCTGCTGCTGGTGTTTGACCCGCTCCTGACGATCCTTTCTCTCCAACCCCTCAAAAAAAGAAACAAAAAGAAACCGATCCTTTCTCTCCTTTTTCTTTTTCCTTCTTTTTTTTTTGGCATAGCATGACATTTTTCCTGTTGTGGCATGGCAATTGCCAAACCATGTAAGCAACTCCCCCTTCTATATCATGCCAATTTTCCCTGCAGCAGAATTTGCCATGTTGTACTCCCTCCGTTCCTAAAAATTTGTTTTTTAGAGATTTTAAATGGACTACTATGTACAGATGTATGTAGACATGTTTTAGAGTGTAGATTCACTCATTTTGCTTCGTATATAGTCACTTGTTAAAAAAAATTAGAAAGACAAATATTTAGGAACAGAAAGAGCAATTTTCATAGCACGACACATTTCTATTCGCGCACGACATGGCAAACGTTGAACAAATCACAAATTTGACGAGCTGCCCACTCCCATTTCTCTGCCTTTTGTTCTATAAATAATAATGGAAGTTAGGGCACCTTTAACGCGGATCATCAAACCGATAAAGTCACCGCAACGCTTCGCTATCGACGGAAATGACGTCCACCATTGAATAAAATATTCCACCTAAAAATGACCCAGGCCTGTACAACTTACTGAGGCGAAGTTAAGAAAAATGCCACAAGGACCTATCAATTTTACCAGTAGGAAATTGTTGGACCGTCTTATTGAGCCATTTTGATATATACGTTGCTCCTTAATTAATTTTATAGCCCTTTCACTCAATTAATATGTTATATTTGGATTTGGTTCACGATTTTGATCGGATCAACGATTTCTTAAGGAGCTCTCCCATTCAATTGAGGCAATCAATTTTGAATTTGATTCATGATTTTGACTGGGTCAACAATTTCTTAAATTAATCGAAAGCAGCCAGCCTAAGTTTCGTGCATCATCTCATCACCTAGAGGAAAAAAAATCCTAACAACACCGTCTTCCCCACACGCCAAACCAATAATAAACAAGCGAACCAACCTGTGGTTGGATGGTTAGAGGGACAGTGGTATCTCCAGCCCACCAGGGTTCAAGTCCTGGAGCTTGCATTTATTTCTGGATTTATCAGGATTTTCGGCGATGCACTTTCAGTGGGAGAAGATGTTCCCGTCGATGACGAGACGCCTACAATGAATGCGTCTGTACCATGTTAAAAAAAACGCACCCGCACATCCTAGTCTTTAGAAGATTTATGCGAAATGGCACTCTCAGTGCGAACCAACCTGTGGTTGGATGGTTAGAGGGACTGTGGTATCCCAGCCCACCAGGGTTCAAATCCTGGTGCTCGCATTTATTCCTGAATTTATTTCAGGATTTCCGGCGAAGCACATTCAGTGGGAGGAGACGTTCCCGTCGACGACGAGGTGCCTACGGTGACTTCGTAAATTTCAAGATGATATGCCAGCTCAGTCTTTCGGAGGTGCTCATAGAGATAGGGTGTGCGTGTGTGCATTCATAGTGGTGAGTGTATGCGCGTGTATATAAGTGCTTGTGTTTGTACTGATATTCAAAAAAAGAAAGAAATGGCACTCTCAGTCACAGACAGGAAAAGACCATGGCATGCACCCCAAGGTTTCATCATGGCCGGCGCGCGAGGGAGGGAGAAGCAAGCAGGGAGATGGTGTTTATGTACGATGAGATGAACGGAGAGACGCGGTCATAGTCAGACAAGCAGCCTCCCCTCGATTGGAAGAAGTAACAGTAGTAGCGGTAGTAGTAATCAAAAGTCCAAATTAAACCGTGTGTGGGGGTGGGCCGCAAGGGGAGCTGACTGCGAGTCATCGCCTTACTGTTTTCTAATAACAGTATGATTTTGCATGGTGATTTTTCAGGCACCAAGTTCCCGTCATCTTCTTCCTTTTTCTTATTTATTTATAAACTGGATCAATGGTGACGCTGGCGTGGTTGAACATGAACATATGGCGCTGCTGCTCATGAATCATGATTGACGCAGGGCTTTTTGTCCAGAGACCCGCTCTCCCACGCACGTGCCCCTCCTCCTCCTCTATATATTGACACGCTCCAGAGGATCATTGACCGCTCAGTCTAAACATACAGATTCTGGTTAAATCCATGGCCAAATTCAACCTAAAATACGACGATGGTCCCTTATAAACCCGGTTGGAGAGAGCATGAATGAAATATTTCGCTACTATCCTGCTACTCTAATTGTTTATCAACTTGTGGTCGTTGATCGCTCTCAAAAAGTTGGTGACAAAAGAAAAATCGATGCATCAATTGCACAGTAGCATGAATTAATCAGTATTTAGCATTGAAAAAAAAATAGTGATCTATAGCGTATTGAGAATTGCCTCGCCAAATATATTTATGCGCAGTGTCTCGCTAATAGCACGCTATAGCACGTTAATAGTATATTTTGAGCTGGGCTCTATTCTTCTCCTTGGTATTTAGGAGTATCAGAAAGCTGTCGATAACAACACGAACTGGGCACAAGGCGATGTGCTACATTTTCGACGAGGTCACCACCAATGTTGAGCACGACAGAAAGAAAGAACTTGAAATTTGATGCGATTCGTAGGAACACAGAATTCAATTAGGCATGCATAGTTGAGCAACATTACAAACTGGCTTCTCATATGCGAATCGTACATGAAAAACGTTTTGTGTTACTTCACACTGAAACTGAAAGCTCAGATATCGAATGGCCTGTCACCGCAAAGCTCCAGAATGGAACACAAAACACACCCATGGGAAACATTTACTTAGATACTTGCTACTTCTAGTACGGTAAATTAGTTGGACATTTTGGTGAAAGGTTCGAATGTAACTACTCCATCATCTGGGTGTCTCTATACCTATTCCAGAAATGTACGGCTCCGCCGAGGAGGATCCCGAAACTGGCACACTGATCACAAAAATGAAGAAAGACCGTGGCACCCCCCGTGTGCCCTCAACCACCACGGCACGAGGCGAGTTGGAAAAGGAGAGGAAATTTCTCGACACAAGGTTCCATGCATTGAAAAAGATGAAGAAGGAAAAACTATGAACACAGACTGTGACTGTTAAGCGCTTGCTCGATCTAGAACAAAGTTATCGGGGGTACACGAATTTGGTAGGTAGCTGTGCTCAGAAACAGAGAAGAAATGGGGATCGGGAGAGAGATAGCCGCCGCCAGAGTCGTCTCCTTTCTCCTTGCCTTCCTTCCGTTGCCTCCTCCCATAAGTACTGGCTAGGTTTCCCATTGTTGGGCCGGAAACCGGGTGCTGGGCCTGCGGATCCGCTTGGTGGGCTGCTGGGCCATTCCCTCCAGTGCGCTGCCTGTGTGGGTGCGAGCCGGGGTCGTAACACTCTCCCCTCCTTCAGAAACAGCTTGTCCCCAAGCTGGTGCTCTTGGATAGTGCTGATGTAGTTCCTCCCGGTCTTCCCAGGTTGCTAGCGACGCCGGTTGTGCCGTCCAGCGCACCAGCACTTGCTCCACTTGAGTCTTGTCGCGAACATGGAGGCGGGTGTCGAGGATCTCCTCTGGAATAGGGCTTGGTGCCGCGTCCTCCGGTAAATCGGGCAGCGCCTGCTTCGTGGGAGGAAGAGCGCGCCGAAGCTGCGAGACGTGGAAGACGGGGTGGATGGTGCATGTTGCCGGCAGCCTGAGCTTGTACGCCACTTTTGCCCCACTCGCTTGATCACCTGGAAGGGGCCAAAGTACCGAAAGGAAAGCTTTTGGTTAGCTCGTGTTACCAGAGAGCGCTGGATGTATGGCTGCATCTTGAGGAAAACCCAGTCGTCGACGTTGAAAGTGCGCTCGGACCGGTGCTTATCCGCGGACTGCTTCATTTGCTGTTGAGCGTGGAGAAGGTGCTGCCTGAGTAATGCTTCCATTTGTGCACGGTCTTGGAGCCAGTCTGCCAGGTCCGGTGCCGCGCATGTCAACGGGTCGATGATGCCAAAGTGTCTTGGGGCATGCCCATATAGTGCTTCGAAGGGGGAGGTGCCCAAGGCTGAGTGAGGAGAAGTGTTGTACCAGAATTCAGCCAAGGCTAACCAGGATGACCATTTGGAGGGGCACGCATGCACAAAACAGCGAAGGTAAGTTTCCAGGCACTGATTCACCCGCTCCGATTGCCCGTCTGTTTGGGGGTGGCGAGCGGTGCTCATCTTCAACTCAGTGTGGGTCAGTCTGAAAATTTCCTTCCACATGGTACTGGTAAAAAGGGGATCCCGATCGGACACTATAGCCTCTGGTAGTCCGTGGAGCTTGTAAATATTGTTGACGAACGCCAGCGCCACTTGAAACGCGGTGAAAGGGTGGGACAGGGGTATAAAGTGAGCATACCGGGAGAACTTGTCCACCACGACTAGAATACTGTTGTAGCGCGCTGACCGTGGCAGCCCTTCGACGAAGTCCATCGTGATCAGTTCCCATGCTTGCTTAGGTACGGGCAAGGGTTCGAGCAGGCCGGGGTATCGCACCCGTTCGGGTTT